GTGTTCCCGCACCCGCTGCGGGCCGCGTGTCCCGGAGGAGCGTCACGGCAGAGGAGGGTCCCGTGTTGTGCCTGAGCCCCGCAGCCCGTTCCCGCCGGGAGGGCTGGCGCTGCCGCTGTTGGGGTTCCCGGGAACCGCTCGGGCAGCTGCCCGGGCAGCCTTACAACAGTGAATCGCCGCGTCTGCAGCGCAGGAGCTTTTTGTGCCCTGTGCGTGTAAGATTCGCCGTACCCTGCTCCTGGAGCAAGGCCTTAAAATGCACCGATACAAATGAGCATCATGCCGTATGTAACAGAGCTTTCCTTCCCGGAATCAGGGGCTTTCGAAGCTGACAACAGGGCAGATGTCTTTAAGTTTTACAGGCTTTTACACAGAAGCCTACATCTGCTCATCTGTGCCATTGCTAGGGCTGAGTGCAGAGTCACCTTGGCCACCCTGCCAGTCATCCACTGCAAGCCTTGGCTCTGCCCACACCATCATGCAGATGTGTAAATAACTGCCTGGAAAATTGTGTTTACTGGGAAATGGAAGAACGTAAAAGACTCTTGGTAGCGTATCCAGCTATATCCTTTCACACAAGGTAAATATACTGTGTTTTCAGGTGTCAATTGAATGACTGCAGGTATGTGCCTGTCACACAGTATTACATCTCTGCAAACGTGTGATGCATAGGACTTCTGGTTCTGAAATTCAGCCTGAAAGTGTCTTCTGTGAGTCAAGCTTACCTTTAAGTCACTCTTACAGACAAAAATACAGAAGAAAAAACAATTACTTTAGTCTGTCAAAGCATACATGAAACATATTTTGCAACATTTTATGAGAAGTGGAGATCTGGGTTGTAGTTCTTGAAGACTACTTTTGCATTTCACACATGCCTTACTCCTCTTCTTGGCCTTTCTGTACATACCAGCAGAGACCCACCCCAGTGTGCTAGCACCCAGCCCATGAGGAATGAACTCTGGGGGCCTACGGACCAGGACTGATGAGTTGCACAGGGTCATCAGTACCATCACTTGCATTCACAGACTCTCCCTAGAGTCCTCTCACTTAACACAGGGAGGATGAGGGACTTCAGGGATAGAGTGATAAACAAAGCTTTTCCTATGCTTCTCTCTTTTTTACCTCGCGTTTATTCTCACCAAGGCAAGCTGTGTCTTAATTCTACCTACACTCTCACTATGGGATAATGCCAACAAATCTTCCACTAGCAGGCCACGTGGATTTCTCTGCCCTGCTGCCCCCTCCTGGGATCTTGCAGGCCCTCAGTGCTGAGTGAATCTTCCTCACTTCCTCAGCTTCCTCAGATGCTGCACCAAAAGCCGCTCTATTGTGAGGCTGCAGCCTCACAGACAAAAGGTGACACCACTAATTCTGATGTAGGAGTGTGTGAGGAGCACTGACCTTTGTCACAGCAGATGAGAACACTGTCACTTAGTTCCTGGAGGCCGATTTTGTGTATAACTCTATGTAAACAGGCTTGGTTTGCCCCTGACCAGTCTGCCAGGCAATGCTGGTTGTTCCCTGGGCTCTGCTCTGCCAGGCTCTGTGTCATGCCTGTGATGCAGTCCTGATGTGAAGTATTTGAAGTATTTTCTGACTTGGTTTATTTTTATTTCTAAAAAGGACTGTTTGTATTCAACCCTTTTGCCCTGGTTACTTTCAGCCATGCTCTGTGCTAGGCTGGGGAGGTGGTGGATAGCACTGCTCAGCACACTGTTCCCTTTCCATCCAGCTCCACAGCACGGGAGACGGGAATGGAAAGATTCACACTTCCCTAAAAGCTACCTTGACATTTCCCATGACCAAGCCAGAAAGACAGGCGGCAGCACGTCTTGTGTAGAGCAGTAGATGGCTCTCTTTCCTCTAAAGTTCAGCTGGGAAAAGAAACCGTGGATAGTGCTTGGGTCTTAAGAGAAACTCCAGCCTCGTTCCCTCCGGTGCCACGGCTCCTTAGGGCTCATACTCATTCAGCAGTACAGACAGGATACGGCTGTGGTGATGTAGGAACACATTGCAAACTGTTTCATGCTACCTGTGCTAAATAGAACCATCAACCCTAAATGTTGAAGGTTGCTTAGAAGATAGAGAAGATGGTCTGGGGAAAATATAACAATGATGCTAATCTACATCACAGCATTTCCTCATAGAGCAAGATGTCTCTTCTCTCAGATTATGAAGCTTTACAGAATATAATAAAAGAGTTGTCTGCTTCTGGGTTCTCACATCTGTTTTCAGTCTTCTTAAAAATTAATATATTATCTATGCCTTTTTAAAAAATCTAAATTTTTGAAGTAATGGTGTTCAAGATAAAGAGAAGGAGCAGATAAATACAGTTATAACTCACAATATAAGAAGGACCTGATTATTCTTAAATAACTGGAAGTTTCCTTATATACAGTACAGTATACAGCTTTTTTATGTTGCAGATGCCTAACAAGGATATTTATGTTTTAATCCAAAAAAACTACAAAATGGAAGGCTGTAGAGTTAAGGCATCAGATCATTTGGGAAAGAAAAGATATGCACATACATCCAAACAAAAAAATTCTCAGGTTTCCCACAAGATAGCAAATTGCAGTCAATTCAAAAGGAAAAGAATTAGGATGGCCTTGAACTGTGCAGTCCTTCTACTGTAAAGCTGAATACAAAATCATTACTAAATCATGCATAAGATGATGCTGACCAAATCAGAAATGGTTTATGTGACTCTGGCAGAACAATGTGTTTTCATCTGTCTGGAAATACTCTGTCTCATGCAAATGCCTCAGGGCTCTGTTGCTGCAGATACTCTTCCCTGGGGGTTTATGTTGGGAGGGGAGTTATTAATCATGCTCACTTTTATTATAGTTTGTTAGTAGAGGCACTCAGTGCAGTTCAATTTTTTGGCATTGGCCATGACAGCAAGAAGCTTGGGACTTTTCTCAGCAGCATTGCTTTCATATGGAAAAAAAGGAAGCACATACCATGTCCTCTACAAAGTACACCTTGGGTTATTATGGCAAAGCTCAACTGGATTCAGGGAAGTGGCTGACTTAGGCTTTGTATTGCTTAAATTTTAGTGTAGTGGTAGCCAGTGGAAGTTTAGATTTGAAGTCCTGTCCCAAAAAGCAGAGTCTGTTACCCAGTGTGCAAGGAGCCGGTTCTCACAAAGAGTCAAGGTGCTTGCTTTAATATGAAGTTCTGCACAAAAAGGGGAGCCAGGTCGTATTCCACAAAGCAAGCTCACCTCCCCAAAACTAAGGGCTACTTTTATATGCAGAAACATGTAAAATCACTTTATCTGTGTTTATATTCTGTCACTTGTACACGATTGGTTAACAAGTTCTTTGCTTCCATTTATGGCAACTGTGCTTAAAAATGTTACTACACATGCTGAAAGAGTAGGGGGCTTTTTGTTAATAGAGGTCCACTCTGACCTATGGGTGGGTATTTCAGTGTGTTAATAGTATATTAATATTCTAATGGTATGTTAGTACAATGAATCCAATTAGTTGGTGTTCTCTAGCTAGTGCTCAAGGCTATAACCAAGATGAGTTGTGAGGAGTG